ATTTTCCCCTTCACCAGTACGAGGTTGATGCATGTGATGGTGGTGGTGGTGGTGGTGACGGTGACCAATTCTATTGTGCGTTGACTCATGAGTTACCTAATAATCGACCTCTTTGACGGGTCTCTTATCATTGGAATCTAGTGAACCAGATACAACACTATTTGGTCGTCGATGATGCTTACTGTGGTTCACATGGCTTTGCCTTCTGGGTGCATCAACACTTCTCAACAGCTTCATCGCTTAAAGACCCTAAAGCACTAAACCCTAGAGGGGCGGATGTACTAAGCCCCATAAGGGGTCAAGTGCATCTCCTTATTTAAGGAAAAATGTGAAATTTAGTTTAATATGATAAGGAAAAATGAAACAAAAATAATTTTTTTGCATAATCATTATTTTAAGAAAAGAATATTAAAATTTTGAATCCTCGTTATTAAATTTCTAGATCTACCACTGCTAGAACCTCTTCGATAATGGATTTTCCAGTGTCTTCTGTGGCTTTTCTTTCAATTTCTATGATCATCTTCATCACTTGAAGAATCTGAAGTACTAAACACTGAACCCCCGATGGCGCTTGTGATGCCTTGCACAACTTCATGCGACCATCTAATTGTCAGTATCATTTGAGGAGACAATAGATTCTAAATCTGATCTTGAATTATGATGCGTCCATTTTCAGCAGCTACGATTTATCCTCCCCTCTTCTTCAGAACTACTATCATATTCATCATTGCAGTCATAACTGGAGCTTGATGAAAGAATTTTTGGCTTTTTCTTTGACTTCCTCTCATTTCTCCTCTCATTCTCACTTGAACCACCGTGGGTATTCTTCTTATGCTTTTTATGGGATGGTAAACGGGTATAATTTCATAGATTTTGCACCGTATCCATTCTAATTGGGGCAGGATGTGTATAAGATTAATGGATAGTTGGCTGGTATGGATGTAAAAAGTCATACCCATCGTGGGTAGCATGTAGGTGATGGGTTTGAGACCTTACCCATCCCACATCCGCCTATCCACTAACTATCCACCATATAAATTTTGGACCATTATGAATTTAGGTATAATTTCAAAGATTATTCTATAAATTTTAAGATTTATAGGATATGACTTGTAATTTAACCAAATGTTAGGGTATATACATTTTTAGAATTGAAGATTTTCGTTTCTCCTATCTCAAATTGGTGGATATGAGAGAGTATAGACGGGTACAGGATGAGTGTTGAGTATCCAGTTATGTAACATCCCAAAAGTTGGGTCAGTGATTAAAATGCAAATTTTAAAAACTTGGTGCTCAATTTCGAAATAAATTAAAAGTTAATCAATTTAATTGAAAATATTTTTTGAAGGATGGTTTAGTAAAGATTGAAAGAAAGAAGGTTAAAATGGTCATTTAACAAGAAAGATTTTTATTTTTCTTTTGTAGGTTATATAAACGTGGGAAATGAGGGAAAAGTTTCCAGAGAACTCTCCTTTCTTCTTCTTCTTCACCGTGAAGCCATAGGCAAAGGTGAGTTGGTTTCTTTTGGTTAATTCTTAAGAGTCAAGCATGGTTTTGGTTAATGAAGCATTAGGAAAGAGTATGAAATCAAAAAGAAGCATGGAAACTTAAAGAATGATAAGTTATGGTTGATTTAAGTTAAGAAGTGAATAAGTGAAATTGTGAATAAGGATATATAAATGGATTCAAAAGTTGAATTTGACTTGTCATATGGAAGAGTAAGAAGTTATAAGTGTTAGAATTAAGTTTGGATAACATGAAAAATTTGGTATGATTCTTGAATGCTATGTGGATGAGTGGATTTTTAAGTTAAAGAGGTATTGAATGAAAATTAATTGGTTTAAGTAAGTATATGCAAGTTAAGGATAAAAAAAGGGGTAGAAATATGAAGTGTTTGAGATGAAATGAAGTAATTTTTGTGATGAAAATATGATTTATGGGCTAGGGGTATTGATACTCATTCAATATGTACTGATACCCTCTCAAACGAAAAGAATCACATAATGTAATGAGGGTCGATACCCTAAGGAAGGTATCGATACCCCCTAAAGGAAAAAAAGAATTTTTGGTTCGTTAAATTAGCTTAAGTTATTAACATCAAGTTATAAGGTTTAGGATTCTAATAATTGTCTCGGAAATTGTGTTCATATAAATATTGAGTCTAAACAAGTTCTGGAACATTGGGCAAGTAAGATCGATCGAGGAAAGATAAGAATCAGTAGAGACTAGTGAGGCCAGGTGAGTGCATCATATTTTAATATAGGATTATATGGAAATTGGACTTGCGGAGACTAGTGAGGCCAGGTGAGTGCATCTTATTTTAATATAGGATTATATGGAAATTGGACTTGCGATAAGTTTAATTCCTATAGTTGTAGTGCATTAAGTCATGAATATAAGTATGTGAATTTCCTAGTTTGTATGTATTCATGATTATATGTATTGATATGTTTTTGTATGTGATATATGATTTATGTAAAAATACTATTATGTGATATATGAAAATGTAATGTAAACTACATATAAATGGTGAGACATATAAATATATGTACATAGAGAGAAATAAGATAATCAAATATAATCTATATAATAATGAAATATGAGACTATGTGAATACATACCTATAAGATATATTAGGTAAAAATAGGAGAATATGATATAAGTGAGTTTATGGGAAGCGATATGAACTGGGTAAGCATGTATAAAAGTTATATGAACAATAGAAACATGAATTGGGTAAGTACATAGTTAGGTGATCATTTATATGAATTAGTATAATATAATTATATGATTTAATAAGAATTGAGATAAGCTAAATAAGATTGATCATAGAATGAAATGAGAATAGTATATTAATTAGGAAGCTTGAACATAAGTGATAATACAAACATATAAGATAAGCTATAAGGGGAAAACTCATGTACTTGAATAAAAATATGACATATTAGGGTATATGAAATTGAACAAGTAAATAGATTAGATTAATATATATATATATATATATATATATATATATAAGTAAAATGATAGAAGTGATACGTGTTTATAAGTATGTCATAGATTACATGATATAGTTAAATAAAATAGAATGAAGCTTAAGCTATATGAGATTATATAAGTTATTAAATATGATATATGTGATTATGAGAAGAACAACAAAAACCATGTGAATACAAGTATAGGTAAAAGGATATATATATATATATATATATATATATGACTATGAGTTAGAATAATGTTATATGATTTATACTAGGATAAATTATGAGACTATATGTGAAATGAAATGAGTACATATTTATATGATGAGATGGTGAACTATATGCACACGTGAATATATATCTATGAGAAGATATAAGAGTAAGATATAAGCAAGGTGATAAAAAATGTGAAATGACGTGTAAAGTTAATATAAGTGTGTAAAAGTAATCTACGTGATTATATGTATATGTGATCCAAGTTATGTGACCCAAGATACGTGAAAGGTGAAAGTGAATTATGTGTCTATGTGAATATGTGAAATGACATAAATAATAATGCCCATGTTATGTGTCATGATAGCTAGGGATATAGTTGGCATGCCAAGAGTCGAGGGTTTATGCGGTCCTTCGGGACATATATGTATTTTTTGGAACATGTATGAGGTCTTTTGAGACACATATTTGGTCCTTAGCATATGTATATGATTCTTAAGGAACTTTCTACGTGGTCCTTAAGGACATCTTATATGTCACTTCGGTGCATTTCTATGCGGCACTACGATGCAATTCTACGTTGCACTTTAGTGCATTTATACGAGTTGTGGTGACAGAATTAGAGCACAACCTCTATAGACTCACATATCTATAGTTCTCACATGTGTACATGGGCCATTAAAGATGTAATATGAGAAAATTCTACGGGATGTTATATGTTTGTTTGGGTGATATACTATTATATGATGTGTATGTGTATTAAAGATAATAATATATGATAAGGTGATGAACGTAAATGTTGATGTGTGTATTACGTGATTAAATGAGTCATATATTAGTTAAAAACGTTAGGTACATGAGAATATGATTACGAGATATAAATGATAATATAATTGATAGTGAAATAAGGTTAATGATGGAAATGATGAATGATGTGTTATGTGTACATTTGACTATATGTAATGTTATATTGTTTTGTGTGATAGCATGATATGATATGTACATGCATGGTTAAGTAGTTAGAATTACCTTTATACGTTTAATGCCTCACTAAGTCATCGACTTAGCGTATGAGTGTTTCACACGTAGGTTCCGAGAAGCGTTAAGAGAAGCTAAGAGGAGCTAGACAGGTCAGTCACTCCTTTACGAAAGTTCATATCAGAAAATATTTGGAAATTTATGTATATTGTTATATTAATTGTAGTTGGCATGTACTAAAATAATAGTACTAAATATTCTCTTATAGGTTTTGTAAAATCAAATGTTTTAATTAATGAAAATCATTTACTTTCTCGAAATTTGGAATTTGTTTTAACCAATTTGTAAAGAAAAATGTTTTGAAAAGTCAATGGGACACCTCGGACTTGAATCCGGATCGGGTACGGGTTGGGGTGTTATAAGTTAGGTAGTAGTTGTGGGGATGAATTTGAGAATGTACCCATGTGGACGGGTGTGGATTTAAAAAATTTATCCGCCGTAGATGGTAGGTAAGTGATGGATACGAAAATATTAGGTGGGTATGGGGATAGAGAAATGGTCCCTAGTGGTGGTGGTGGTGGTGGTGGTGACAGTCAGTGGCGGATGCAAAGCATCCTCAGGATGGGTACGTGCCTACCTTGGAATTCGAGTTTCTTTATATTAGATGTTCATTTTACTATGGGTGACTACCCTGAAATTTTACTTGTGCCTACCCCATACGAAAAATTTTAATAATTAATATATGTGTGTCTACCCTCAAAAGTATTTATCGTGACGGTGACCAATTCTATTATGTCTTGATTCATGAGTGTCGTCTAATGAGTTAGATCATAATCGGCCTCTTTGACGAGGTCTCTCATCATTGCAATCTAGTGAGCCAGAGACAACACTATTTGGTCCTTGATGATGCTTACTGTGGTTCACATGGCTTTGCCTTCTGGGTGCATCAGCACTATTCAGCAGCTTCATCGCTTGAAGATCCTGAAGCACTAGACCCTCCCCGATAATGTCCTTTGCAGTGTCTTCTGTGGCTTTTCTTTTGATTTCTACAATCATCTTCAACACTTGAAGAATCTGAAGTACTAAACACTTAACCCCGATGGCGCTTGTGATGCCTTGCACGACTTCTTGCGACTATCTTACTGTCAGTATCATCTGAGACAATAGATTCTGAATATGATCTTGAATTATGATGCTTCCATTTTCGGCAGCTACGCTTTTTCCTCCTCTCTTCTTCATAACTACTTTCATATTCATTACTGAAGTCATGACTGGAGCCTGATGAAAGACTCTTCGACTTTTTCTTTGACTTCTTCTCATTTCTCCTCTCGTTCTCGCCTGAATCACCGTGGGCATTCTTCCTATGCTTTTTATGGGATCTTCTTCTTCTTTTTATCCCTCCATCAGTACTGTCACTCTCAGTGTCGGTATTAGACTCGTACCTTTTGTGTTTCACCCTCTTTGACCTCTTCTCTTTGGCCTCAGCACCCAGTCTCGCCTTTGTAGCAACTTCTAGCTTCTGTTCCCATTTCAAAGGGGCTTCTTTCTTCTCTAAAGCTCTCTTCTTCTCCTCAACCAATTGGATGAACTTCTTGCAGTCCATTTAAGACAATGAGATCTTGTTATGCAAGCAAAGTTAATGAGTAAGACGACTAACGTTTAAACCAAGAAACCGAGCTTGATAAAAGACCTAAAGGTAGTTTCCCTACCATTTTGAACATAATTTCTAATACTACCCTACGTTCTAACCATACAGAAGTTAAAATTAAGAAGCAATGAGTCCTTAGTCGAAGATTCATGCAATCCCTCTAGAACTATGTTCTGAACATAATCGTGAAAAATCCAATACTAGAATGAAATAATTGAAACAGAGCAGTAAGAAGTCAGATATCTGATTCATCTTTATGCGATATCAATACTGGAATTAAAGAATTAAATCCCAGCAGTTAGAACCCGGGATCTTGAGAAATAATAACAATTCTTTTACCATTGAGATCGCTTGATTCATGCATTAATCAATTAATTTAAAATTAAATACCATAAAAGTTCATTATAAAATAATTATTTCAATTTAATTTATTCAATTAACAACTTCAAGATTCGATTTTCATTATATGAATTTTAATCATAATTATTTTATATCTGTATATAATCATATTATCCTGTAATATGACTCATAGATAAACATAAAACATATTAAAATCAATACAAAAATAATTAATATTTTTTTATTAATCTGGGATAAGTACAAAATAGTATATGTTCATAGATAACTCTCAAGCTTCCGACATTAAACGCTCACACTCTTGACATTTATAGTATTCGAACCCGGGTCTCAATGAATAATAATAACTCTTTTACAACAGAGGCCACTTGATTCATACCAAAATAAATATTTATTATAACCTGAAAATAAATATATTACTATAATTAATACTAATAATACTATGTTACTATAATTTAAGTGTGTATATATATTATAACCTGAAAATAAATATGATACAAAATAGTAAGAACAGTATATGTTATTTACTTAAACCCAACAGTTTAGACGGTAAAAGAAATAATATTCATTTAGATGATTCATATTTGAATAATTCATATAAATTTGTTCATATTTGAAATCAGACGTATATGAACGTATAATATCTCATCATGGTAAATTTTTTGTATATTAAATCAAGTCATATTAGTTTCATACGTGACGATTTTAATCTGAATGATTAATTTAAAATCAATAACTTAATAAATTAAATAAAGGATTAACAGGAACAAGCAGTAAGGGTGCAGGTTACATCAAGATATTCTCTAACACAAGTAGTGGCATAACATGGAGATGTAGCCATATCTATGACTGGTGCTTGTTTAGAAATATCAAAACATAAGCAATATGTAGTCAGATTACCAGAATATGATTCTTTTCTTAGCCAGTGCCGCAATCTTTCATCAACAAGGAGGCAAAGCATCTGCAAAATGGAGCAAGAATCACACTTCACATCATATTCCAGGAAAAAGCAAAGTACAAGCAGCCGTTGAAACTATGACAAGGATATATTCATCACTTAATCAATGCTATATAAAATGAATCATACCCCAAGTTTCGTTTCAACCCCACCCCACCCCCTCCAAAAAAAAAAAAAGAAGAAGAAGAAGAAGCGAGAAGATATCATGAACAACACGCCGTTTTGGCAGGCTCAGCGTCCTGTAAATCCCCATGGACGCCTCGATGCTCCTTATCCCCGATTCGATTCCGACGGCTTCGAACCGTTTTTCAGTCATCCCATTTCCTTCCAAGCCGCTGTGGTACGCGTAAGTCTAAGCCAGTATTTAAATTGCCTAAGTTTCATTTGTTCAAAATGTTTAGGAAGATTTCTTGGATTTTTTTCCTTGCGTGTGAAGTAACTTCTTTATAGTTGTTTCTTTCCCTTAATTTGGTACATGATGTTACTGGATTGTTAATCTGTGTGATGTACTTTCAGGACCCTATTAGAGGTTCAAGGCATCCGTGGCAGATACCGGACCGACCCCTCGGGTTTTCAGGGTAAATTCACTTATTTATCACTCAACTTAGAAATCGAAACATGTCATTATCTAGTTCATTGTCGATAGATAAAATCGATGCCCAAATAAACTCTAGAAAAACATTATGTTGTAGTTTCCCAGACTATCAACGTGCTCCTGCTCCGGTAGAAACATTATGGTTCGACGCTTTCCCCGCTAGATCAGTCAATCCAAGGTTTCAGGGGCCCTTCCGTGGACCTCGAGTACTGGACAAGAGAATTCGAGATCAAATCAAGAGGAGGAAAGGAAAGTATTAAGTAAGCTGAAGAAGGAAATTTATAATCCGATCCCGAAGCAGATGACGAAGAGATTGAATTCCTATTACCGAGATAAAAAACGGGGTAATGAGAAGGGAACAGAGATAGATGAAGATGGAAAAAGGTGTGCAGTTTGCTTGGAAGATTTCGAGGCCAGAGAGAATGTGAGGGTGACCCCATGCAATCATATGTTCCATGAGGAATGTATCCTTCCGTGGGTGAAGGATCGCGGAGACTGTCCGGTATGCAGATTCGTGCTCAGCGAGCGCATTAAACGGGCACCGTCTTCCAATAACAGCACCCTGAATGCGAATGACTTGCTCCAGATAGATATGAACTCGATTGTCAGAGCTATGGGGGAGGTTTTCTTGTGGGACAATTCACTCTGATATGTATATATGTTTCAAGTGATGTGATTAACATTATCTATATTATGGAATTGTCATTATTAATTAGCTTTTCAAATTCATCTCTTTCTTGTTTCCAGTAGAGTTGTTTTCGTTTTAGGTGGAGTTCTAGTTCCTGTGAGCCCATGGTGACTTGCAATCAAAGTAAGAATAAAGAGTACATGCTATTAGTTCTTAAAACTTAATCACACAATCAAATAATCAAGTTTTTAAAACTTAATCGAATTATTGTTTGATTAACGTGTGAGGAATGCAGATTCCTTGAATGGCCGCCAAACTATTTGATCCGTGTAGAAAGCCAACAGGACAAGACCATGCTTTACTAACAAAAAAAATCATCGCCGCAAATACAGCTGCAGGCGGTCCCACGCGCAAATCACAGCGAAACTAAGCATTCCAAATTTGTACTACTTCCCCACGACCAAAACAACCTTCCATCTTTTTCTCATGTAAATTAACCTAACGCGTCCATCCAATATTTGACCATTACATCCCTCTTATACATATATACCTCCTTCCTCTCTCTTTAGCCAACCATATAACGGTTTTCTATTTCGATATTTCATCAAACCTTGTACCTTTGATTCTTTGGATCCATGGGTAATTACATTTCCTGCACCCTGGCCACTCCCTTGATCAACAGCAGAAGAGCGGCGCGTGTCGTCCTTCCCTGCGGCGAAATCCGGCAGTTCCGGGACCGCGTTAAGGCGGCCGAGCTTATGATGGAGTGTCCTACCTATTTCCTCACCAATTCCCAGTCTCTACACATTGGTAAACGGTTTTCAGCCCTGAGCGCCGACGAAGAATTGGAGCTCGGCAACGTTTTCATCATGTTCCCAATGAAGAGACTCAACTCGGTGGTGACAGCAGGCGATATGGCCGTGCTTTTCATGGCGGCGAACGCTTCGGCCAAGAGAATATCGAGCGGAGAAGCGACGGGGAACATTGGCAACGAGGAAGAAAGTTCGACGGGAGGATCGAAGTTGAGCTTGGAAGGGGTTGAAGAATTTAAGTACAGGTTATCTGTTTGTAGGTCGAGAAATCCTTCATTGGAAACGATCAAAGAAGAGTATGTTTGCTCAAAGTGAACAGATAGATCAATCATCTTAGGCCTATTAATACAAAGTCAACTCTCTTTGTTGATTTGCATACGTAAAATGACTTAACATATTGAGATTTTACCCTTCTTTTAAAAAAATATATATTTGGGAGTCAAAATTGATAGGCGTTGAGAAAGTAAACATAGAAATTGCATTGTTTTGAGGGACCACGTCTTCTCTCTCTATGGAATAGAATCGCTAAGGGAGTTGGAAATGGAGTTGATTAACTATTAGTAAGGATTTTTTTTAGATTTTCTAGAAATTAGATATTTAATAATAAATAAAAAATAAATTGTAAGAAATAGTAAAAATAAATAAATTTATAAATTATTTTCTTTATTTTGTTTAAAATAAATACATCAAATTGTGGATACAATTATTTTTTTATTATGTTGTGTTTATCGTGATTACAGATATAACATGCACTATTATAATAGCTCCGCTATTAAATCATGACTCATACAAAATAAACATGACCTTCTTTTAAGATCTTTTAAAAAATAATAAAAGAATAATTAAGTGGAAGTTAAACGAAAATTTTAAAAACATCACATCAGTATCAATGTTAATTTTTTAATAGTAGATGATTAAAAAACAAACAAAATATAACATTAAATATGATTTTTTAAAAATAATAATAATTAAATGACAAAAAAATATTAGGGGAATGAGTAAATAAAAATATCCTTTTCAATTGGGTTAACTACATTATTGATCACTTTTCATTTATGTTTTGTTCACTTTTCATCATTTATTTTAAAGAATATAATATATGATCATTTCCGTTTTCATTTAATTAAGATGTAGTCACTGAGGGTTAGTTGTCGTTAGATTTTTAACGGATTGTTGATGTGACATAGTTAATATATAAAATTAAAAAGAGTAAATTACTCAAATGGTCACTAAAATTTGAATAACTTTTTTAGTTTTCTACTAAAATTTATAGAATAACAAATTGATCGATATCATTTTGTGATATACGTCCCCTAAGTGACTTCTTCGTCCCTTACTCCACACTACCCATTAAAGCTTCCTTGTTCACTTTAGCGATTCATCATCCCCTAAGCGATTTTCATCCAAGAATATCAACCTAATTGTTGCTGCACATGTACTTAAGTTTAGCTGTTAGTAGGTTTAATATTCGATGTTAGTAGAATGAGTCAATGAGAGCATCTGATAATGTAATGTCAAATTATAATATCATATCTTTGTAATGCACTGGGAACATATACTTCATCTTTTATTTGATTTGTAAAGTCTACATTAACCCAGATGTTATGTGAATTTTGTTCATGTTTTACTAAAGAATAGTGCAGGAGAAAAGAATGAAGCAGTTAGCTAGCGAAGTTTTCTTATATGTCAAACAAACAGTGAATTGGTGTAGGAAAAGTGACGAATGAAATTTTAATGAACAATTTATATATTTATTATGTCACATCAATAGTCAGTTAAAAGGTAATTAACCCTCAGTGACTATATCTTAATTAAATAAAAACTAAAGTGACCATATATTATGTTTTTCTGAAATCAATGGAGAAAAATGGATAAAGCATAAATTAAAGTGAATAATCATGTAATTAATCCTTTTCAATTATATGTAAATTTTATAATTTTGAATCCTAGGCAGGCCTCTCCTGCCATGCCCCAGGTCCGGTCCTGCTATTTATTTTCCCAGCAAAAGCAAGACTCAGGTCCGGTCCTGCTATTTATTTTCCCACCAAAAGCAAGACTCAGGTCCGGGCCTGCTATTTATTTTCCCACCAAATGCAAGACTCAGGTCCGGGCCTGCTATTAATTCTCCCACCAAACACAAGACTCAGGTCGGGGCCTGCTATTAATTCTACCACCAAACGCAAGACTCTGTAAAACAACACTTCTCTAACTTCATACATTAATTGAACCGATCTGGTCTCAATATGAAGATGCGAAAAAAGATAAAAGTTTTTTAATTATACACTTAAACTTAGTTTTAAGGTTCATTTTAGTACCTATAAGTGATTCTAAGATTCATTTTAATAACTAAAATCAATTTTAATGGTTAATTTCATATCTGGATTTAATTTAAATATGTAATTGCAGTTGATTTTTTGTTAAAAAATTGGCTTTTATAATTTTTAATCAATTTGAATCGAGAAACTAATTTTACGTATCTATTTGTGTAAAAAAATAGATACTAAATTGAACCCTGAAGCCAGGTTCAAGTATTGGAGAGAAAAAAAGTTAAGGTACTAAATTAAAGCTTAAAGCTACTTTAGGTACCAAAATGTATATTTACCTTTAATTTATATAAAATTGACAACTTCAATAATCTTTTAGAATATTTTATTTAATTATTGGTTTTTCCACGTTCCTTATATTTCAACTCTTCACGTGGTTCTTGTACCGACAAGTTTATCTTTCCAAGTCTGGTTCTTCCCAAGGCAAAAAAAAAATGGCATCTCCAATCTCCTTGTACCTTCTCCTCCTGATCCTCCTCTCTCAAACCCATCTCTCCTTTTCCACCGCCGATCCGGCAACCAGTCACGGCTCAACCTCAGATGTCCACGATCTGCTCCCGTCGTACAATCTTCCAAAGGGCATCATTCCCGGCAACGTCAAGTCCTACACCCTCTCCTCCACCGGAGACTTCACGATAGAGCTGGAAAGCACCTGTTATGTTCACTTTGACGACCTGGTTTACTACGACAAGACCATCACGGGGAGGCTGAGTTACGGGGCTGTTCACGATGTGTCTGGGATTCAGGCAAAGATGTTCTTTTTTTGGTTGCCTGTTACTGGGATTGAGGTCGATGGGAAATCTGGTATGGTTCAGTTCTTCGTTGGAGCTCTGTCTAAGACTTTGCCTGCCCAACAGTTCCAAGATATTCCTGTTTGCAAGAGTAAGCCTCTCCCGTGGGCTGACCTAATTGGTTCTGCGTGAATTCGGGTACTTTTTCATTTCCTTTTCTTCAAGGTTCTGAATTTCATGTTTTGTTTTGAATTACCATTTTCGATTCTTATTTTCCCAGTTTCATTCTTGTGGAATTATTAGTAGAAATTGGGATTTTAGCAGAAATTGTGCAACTTAGTGTATTGTTGTACCAAATCTGATTTGGTATGTAGGCTGTTCTTTGTGAAGTGAAGCTCTCTTCTTGGGCTTCCATTTTGCAGGATCAATTGCTTATGCTGTCGCAGGTGGGGAATTTAAGACTTCTGGTTTGCTCAGTAATTTCATTGAAGCTCTCTTATTAAGACTTTGTGGTTCTTAAAACTGTATGTTTGTTTCCATCAAAATAAATGATTGATCGGACAAGTTGTGGAATTTGATTTCTACATGATACGATGACGGAAAATTTCTATGATAATGGATTCTACATCTTATTCACAGCCATTCGAGTCTTGAATGTCTCGAATGGCTGTGAAATGGAAACAAATTTAGTGAGGGGTTTTGAATCATATTTTACTTTTCGATAATTTGAATCAATCACCCTATCGATAAATATAAAGTATTATCTGTTTAAGGATTTTCTTCATCACTTGACAATGGTTGATTATATATTTTTTACATACACGTTTCTCAATTATAAAATTTTAAAAAAATAACAATAATCTTTTAATTACTATTTCCTTTCATTAATGTTCTTCCTTAATAATTTATTTCAACACAACTTTCCGTATTCCCCCAAGCCCCAATTCCCTTAGTTACCCAAACCCCTAAATTTCCATCGCCTCAGTCACTGCCTCCATAATCGGTCGTCGACACTCGCCGTCGCCAATCACTCTTCATTCTTTACTCACCGTCACTCATAGGCGGCAGCTAAGCCAGGTACTCTCTCTCCCACCCGCGCTTCGACAAAAACGCCATTGAGCATTGCTGTGTTTTTCATGATCCTTTAACTTCATAACAGAACTAGAAGTTACAGAAAATAGTTGAATACCTATATGGAACTGCTTATACACTCAAAGTTGCTTCGAATCTATCGAAATTGCACAGTAAAATTCGTATTTAACTGATTTCTTTGTTCCATGAGCATGAATGCTGACTAGTAAGCTAGAGATAACGAGCTCAATAGCAACAATTCTTTAGTTAAACTACGTTGTTGCTGGAAAAAGGCGGAAATCTTACACTCAAGTTTAGTCGAAAATCAAGAGGAAAATAAAGAAACAAATCCTAATCTGGAAACTATTAAAAATATGAAGAAGAAAAAATCTCATATTAAAGAAATTCCACGTAAATCCAATCACTTAGGCGAAATTCGAATAATTAGGGCAAAAAAAGCAAAACAAAGTTAGCTGTCTAGGTTTTGCAGAAAATATAAGTGAACTTTTGTTTAAATTTTATGAGCATATGGTCACTTGGTTTAAAAAATTTAATTCGTAGTCACTTTCGTTTCGTTGTAATTAAGATGTGATCTTTTTTGTTTAGTTTTAATTAAAATGTAGTCACTTACTTTAAACGAAAATTAAATACTTAACGATTTGATGACGTGGCACGTTAATAATATGGTTTAATTTTTGTTTTAACCTTTAAACTTTAGATAAAATCTAATTATGGACTTTTTAAAAAAAATTAAAACAGTTTAAGGACAAGTATGCAATTTACCATTTTTTTTATATGCTTTTCTTCTTTATTCCCCTTACACTGCACACCCCATCTCCTCCTCCTCCAGCCACGGCAGTTGGTAACTTCCAGCTAAGATCCTAAGATCCCGTAAAATCCCTCTGGTGCCACCTAAGCCCTGGAAAGCTAGGAACAACGTCGACCCATCCGCCACTCCCACTCAAGGCCGCGAACAACCCGCCACTAGTCTTTCATCTCCGCCTTCGCTCCCTCCCTCCCCTAAAGCCGCCTGTTCTGTCTCTGATTCCGCACCCTCCTCACTTCATCGGAGTCTTCGTCTTTCTTCGAAAGGTTCCTCAAATGCCAATGATCAGTTTGGTCTTCCCGATGTGGAGAAAAGTATTGGATGTCGAAAAGAAGCGGAAGTTGAGCGTGGATGTTGATGGTAATTTTGACTTTTGAGAGCGGGAGAGTAGAGTGTTGAGTTTGCAGTCGGGGAAAAATGTTACCAAAAGATTTTTGAAGATTGGTATGGTCCTCTCTCTACTGCTATGAAGATCATAAGAGATAGAGCAGCGTATTTGAACGTTCCACAGGGGAGTCCTTCTACGGACCAGGTACCGTCCGTGCAAATCAAATGGGTTCCTCAAAGGGGTAAAGGAAAAGACGTGTCAAAGCAGTGGCCTCCATCGTTGTTTGATTTTAGTCTATGCTGCGTTTGGTTTACGAATGTAAGAGAATGCAAGATTATTAGTGAGAATAAAAGATTATTAGAGAATATAATTACTGAGAATATTGTATTTTGTATTTGGTTGGTTAAATAGAATGTAAGATTACTGTGTTTGGTTAAAATAATAAAAGATTATTAGAATGCATATTTTATTAAATTATTCTTATTATATATTTAATTTTTTAATAAGTTGAATTCTAGTATAATATTGTTATAATTAGTTTATATATTTTTAAAAAAAAATAAATTCATTAAATTTATATAATTTTTTTACAAAATTAAAAAGATAAATAGATTTAATGAAAGGGTAAAATTTTATTTTAATTCTTGAACTTCATATAAAATTTTAATAATTTTTTTTGTAAATCTAAAATAATTTAAGGATAAATTTGTAATTTAACATTCGTAGAATTTTTATTATTCAACGACAGAAGAAGTATAATTTTGAAAAAAAAATTAAGGGCATTTTAGTCTAAAACACCGATAATCCAACAATGCCTAAGGGAAGATGGGTAATCACATTCCCGGTAATATATCTAAAAAATCCACTGTTGTTAATAAAACATTATCAGGAATAAGATTACCGGCCAACCAAACGGGTGAATGAGGATTTCATTCCCCCAGTAATCAAAAATGTCGTGAACCAAACGGAATGTAAGATTACCAGTAGGAATAAAAGATTACCATGAAATAAGATTATTGAGAATGTTGTATTTTTTGTTTGGTTAGTTTAGCAGGAATATAAGATTATTGTGTTTGGTTAAAAGAATAAAAGATTATTGTAATGTATATTTCACCAAATTGTTCTTATTATATATTTGTGTTTTTAACAAGTTGGAAAATATTTATACATTTTCTTTAAAAAAAATTAAATTCATATAATTTATATAATTTTTTTACAAAATTAAAAATATAAAAAGGTTTAATGAAATGGTAAAATTTTATTTTAACCCCTGAACTTCATCTAAAATTTTAATTATAGATTTTTTTTGTAAATCTAAAATAGTTTAAGGATAAATTTGTAATTTAACATTCGTAGAATTTTTATTATTCAACGACATAATAATAATATTTTTGAAAGAAATTTTTTTTAAGGGCATTTTAGTCCAAAATGCCGATAATCCAACAATACCTAAGGAAAGGGAGGTAATGACATTCCCAGTAATATACCCCAAAAAATCCACTATTGGTAATGTAAGATTACCCCCAAAAAATTTTAGGGTGTGTTTGATTGGGGTAATGTGAGATTCCCATGGGAATGAAATCTACATTCCTCAGTTTGGTTGGCAGGGAATGTCATTCCCGGTAATCTTACATTATTAATAGTGGATTTTTTTTTATATATTATCGGGAATGTCATTAACTCCATTACCTTAGGTATTGTTGGATTACCGGTGTTTTGGACTAAAATGCCTTTAATTTTTTTTCTTTTAAAAATATCCTTATTCTGTAATTGAATAATAAAATTTCTACGAAGGTTAAATTATAAATTTATCCTTAAACTATTTTAGATTTACAAAAAAAAATCTATAATTAAAGTTTTATATGAAGTTCAGGTTTTACCCTTTCATTAAATATTTTTATATTTTTAATTTTGTAAAAAAATTATATAAATTTTATGAATTTAATTTTTTTTAAATAAAATATATAAATATTTTTCAACTTGTTAAAAAAATATATAATAAGGATAATTTGGTCAAATATACATTCTAATAATATTTTATTCCTTTAACCAAACACGGTAATCTTACATTCCTGTTAAACCAACCAAACACAAAATACAACATTCTCAGTAATCATATTCTCTGATAATCTTTTATTCCTACTCATAATCTTACATTTCGTGAACTAAATGCACTCTAAGAGCCGTTTGGTTCACGGCATTTTTGATTACCGGGGCAATGGAATCCTTTTGCCCATCATTTTGCATAATAGCCCCTGAACCTTTTGCTTTGCTGTTTTTCTGTACCTAGTACCTTTACCATGAACTTTAGCATCTCTGTTCGGAACTAAACTGTTTTTTGTTTATTTTAAGCCAATTCTTTTAGATCCTAAATGTTCAGTTCCTTCTTTTGACGTATTTGAGATACATTTTCTTTTTTTTTTCTTCTTGGATAAACTACATAAATGACCACATAACTATGAATCGGGTCATAAAATGACTATTATTTTTAAAATTATGATAAATATATCATTGAATTATTTAAATTAGTTCAAAATAGCCACACAACATTAACATTTAACGGAGATTAATGGTGTTTACGTAGCAGTAAAAAAATTGGTATAACTGGGAAGCGGGTCCTTGTACAGTTACGCATTTACAGCCCTAGCACTTTGCTTTGTTTTCTTCCATTTTGGTCACTATTTGTATATGATTTGTTTCCTTGGATTTTCATTCAATTTGATCCTGGTTTTTTTAATTTGTATAATGCCTTAATTTAAGCATTAACTTTAAAATCTTTTATTCTAGTCATGTATTAAATTTGTAGATTAAATCCCCTAGATTTTAAAATTAATCAATTTGATCACCAAGATTAAATTTAATTCTTAATTTTTAATTAAGTCTTAATTTCAATTTAATATAACAAAAATGTTGTTTAACCGGGTACCCGCATACCCGTTACCCGATTTATTATATATATATTATTTTTTTTATTTTATATTAAACTTTTATTTATAATTCTCAAATTATTTCATTCTAACATTCTAAATTCCTAATTTCTTAAATTTTTCCACCATAACATTTTAAATTATTAATTTCTTAAATTATTTCACATTAACATTCTAAATTATTTTTTAAAATATTTATTTAAACTTTGAAACATTTGAAATTTAATTATAATTTTTGTTTTAATTTTTAATAATTTTTTTAATTATGTAATTTGATTTTTTTTAATCTTTATGTGCAAATTATATATTATAAACCTTTAAATTTTAAATTTTTTCTATATATATTTTTAAAAATAATATAATTCTAAAAAATAAAAATTATAAATCAGGTACCCGTCACTCGAAAATACGGGTACCCGAGTTTTACGGGTACCCGAATGTAATGGGTTGGGACACAGGCTGAAATTTTGATACCTGAAAATTTTGGGTACCCGGTATTTTGGATACCCGAAAATACAGGTATCTGATTTTGAACACCCCTAATGGTAGGAATTTAAAGGAGTAAAGAGAGTGACTAAACTATAAAATGTACAAAAGATAAGGACCTAGATGTGAGAAAATATGTCATTTGTCAAGCGAATAAAATTTGAATTCAAACATACTTTCACAATCATCCTCTTCCTCTCATGTACGTATTTTGATATACATGAGTTCGCGACTTATGTTAAGGAGTGCTCATGATGAAGTTAAATAATTTTTATTAATTATGAAATTATTGTGTTGTCAGTGAGATATGATTGACATAATAGAGTTAATAAATAATATGATATAATTAATATTTCATATTATTAAGCTAATTGATAATATGACAATAATTAAATCATTAAAATAAATATAAGTTAAGAATTAAAGTTAATCTTAATGATCAAATTGATTAATTTTAAAATATAGGAGGTTTAATCTATAAATTTAATACATGACTAGAGTAAAAGATTTTAAAGTTAATGTTCAAACTAAGACATTAGATAAATTAAAAATAAAATTAGGATCAAATTGGATAAAATGAAAATCCAATGAAACAAATCATATACAAGTAGCGACCAAAATGAAAGAAACAAAGCAGGATGTCACCGCCGCGAATACATAACTTTACAATGACTCACACTCTAATTATACCAATTTTTTTAACAGTCATTTAAATACCTCCGTTAAATGTTAACTTTAAGTGGTCATTTTAAACCCATTTAAATAATTCAGTAGTATATTTGTCACAATTTTAAAAATGAAATCATTTCATGACCTGACCCTATGTGGTGATTTATGTAGTTACCCTTTATTCTTTCATTCTTGTTGCCTCAATATTTTGTTCAATGCATTATATTTGTGTATCGTTTTACCTTTGTATAGGTAATTGAATATTGGTTTTGGAGTTGTAGGATCCGGGTAGTTACCTTTTCCACCTCTCTCAGTAGCTACCAGTCATTCCCTCTAAATCCATCTTTTTTTTTCCTTTTTCTTTTCTCTCTGCTTTTGATTATTAGCTTCTGCTTCACTTCGTTCGAAACGAACTCTTTTGTTCTTATTGCCTTAGATGGAAAGTGATGATCTTGCATACATGGAACTTGCAATTCACCAGGTAATCCCGATCCTTCCTTTTCTCCCTTTCTGTAATCCAATTTCGGCAACATTGCTAATTGAGCCCCTATTTTGTCAGGCAAAACTTGCTATGGAAAGCCTTGAAGTGCCTGTTGGGTAAGTATTAATCTCATCTTTTTTTTTCTCCCTTTGCCTGCTTTTTCCTTCTGTTGGGCAAAACACAGAATGAATAAATGAACATGCTAAAATTTGTACAACTTAAATTACTAACAGGTTAAAAATTGTATAAACATGAAATAACTTTACCAAAAATATGACGAGAAAATACATGAACATGGCATGAATACACAGATTGTCCTAAATATAAGTAAAACAATACCTCATCTTTTATTTATATCTGCCTATTGTTTTGGGTAAATCATAAACGGCACAATGCAAAAATTTATTCTTTGCTATCTCTCTTATGTTATAATCATCTACTCTCTTGAATAATATAATTAACTTTATGACATCGGCATAACCTTGTTCACAGCCTGTATAATTAACATTATTAGGATTTAGTTGTGCTTGAAAAGGTTTCAAGTTGAGGAAGTGTAGCCAATTTGGTATTATGATTACTAAACTTGGATGCAATCTCCTTCCAATGGTAGACGTCAATAAATATACAAAGGGGTGAACTGCAAAAGATCTATAAGGCCGTATTTATAGTTCATTCCATCATACTTCGAATAAAACTTCATAATAACTTAGATGGATACCTTTGCCAAAACAAAAGCCCACTTCAAAAGAAGTGCAAATTTTGCCTTAAAGGCTCGTCTAATTCAAGGATTTAAACAGCTAAGAAAAGAAGTAATTTGACTTCTCTATCTGGGTGTAAAATTAAATATGATGAGTTGACCATTAAAAAGAAAAAACTATAAACTTAAGATGAAAAGAAAACAGCATTGTCAAGAGCGTAATTTTTGTCTCACCTGATTTGTAAATCAACATAATCACCCAATGCTTGGTTTTTGTTGGTTCTTTGTCATAGACTCATTGATTTCTTCATTGTTGTTTGTATTGAAGCATAAGAAATTGTTAACACCCATGTAACTTAGTACCAAGTTTCAAACCATTTCACAATCCCTATATTACTACACAGATTTCAAGCTTCTTCATTCTCTTTGTTTGTACTTTTGGTTTGATACTAAATTGTCTTTTTTGCTTATGTCAATGACTTGGCCCTAATACAAAATTTAAATGCATTTTTTTCACCGTACCTTTTGTTGACCAGCTGCGTATTCATTAAGGATGGTAGTGTCATTGCCTTTGGTAGAAATCGAACCTCTGAGACTCGAAATGTAAATGAATCTCCTCCCTCCTTTTTGATCAGTTTGACGTTTTCATATTATGCCTCATTGATCTCTCTTGATTCATGTTGGTTGTACAAATCTCAATGAAGGTATTTAGTACTTAAAAAGGTCTTGTGTGCGTGCACGGTTATGAGAAACATTTATATTTGTTGGTGCATCATTTTGGTCTTCATATGCTTTTAGTAATCTGTTGGTTGTTGCAAGTGACATAACTTTTTAATTGGTCTTTTCTATCTTTCTCTGTTTTAACTTGCACCTGATGTAAGTAGATCTACACAGATGTAAAATGAAAAATGATATTATCTTTTTTATCCAAAAGTTTGACTGCATTTGTTTATGTTAGTCCATGTTAAGCATCTTTAGTGTTCTCATCTTTCCCCAGGATGCTTATGTTGGCCCCAAGAATATACAGTATCCTCAAATATCATTTTGCAATTTAAATTTTGAAATAGTATCAAGGAAAGGTTTTTTGGTCTATTTATGTTGGAGTTCCCTGATTTGCATCAGTGGATGCTTTGGCAGTCTGCTGAAAGCAAAACTAAAAATTGTATCCTCTTTTTAGGATTATCTCAGACAAGCAATGCAAACGTTCCACTTTTTCTTTCTCCTCTAACTGAATTTTAATCCCATCGTTGTGTGATCATTTTACCATGAGCATTGGCTATATGTTTTCCTGTGCTTTATGAATTTCCTCCTACGAGGGAAAGATATTTTATGAACCCCCACCCCTTAATTATGGGGTGTAGGTGGCTGATTTACCTAGTATTTTTGCTTTTACAAAATTTAGACCACAAGTTAATAATCATATTTTTTGGTTATGTCTAGAGTCTCTAGACCTCTTCTATGGCTTAATTGTTGAACGTCAGCAGACAATTAGTCAAAGTTACCTCATTCTTGTCAGCTCATAAATTACACAACTTTTGTTTTTTGATAGAAATGAAAGGCCTCGTTAAAAATCCCCTTCTTGATTAAGGAGCTTGAAAATAAGCTCCTTAATCAGCGGAAGGAGGAAAAGAGTGCCTTTAATTTTATTACTAATGGAAAAATTACATAAGATACAACCATTACACCAATAATAGTACATAAAACTTAAAAGCATCCCCTGGCATAAAATCCTTTACAGTACATAAAACTTAAAAACACCCCCTGCCATAAAAACCTTCACAGTAGAATAGAAAACCATAGTTGACTCCTAACAATCAACCTATCCCACTCTTAGCTAGATTGTCTGCCTCCCCATTGCACGCTCTTGGAATTCACCTCACTGAATGTACCTTACTAGTGATGAATGTACCTCACGGCAGCCATTGAAAGGAGGAGAAGAGTACATTTTTTTTATAGGAATAACAGGCCTCATCACAAACCTCCTCCTTGATTAACGGAGTCTGATAATCAGCTCCTTAATTTAACCACTCAAGTAGCAACCAAAAACCTAAAACTCAAACAATAAAACCCACTGATAATGTCTAACAATCAACCAATTCCCATCTTTGCTAAACTATCAGCCTCCCCATTACACACCCTTGGAATCCATCTAACTGAGTGCACCCTATCCGAGAAGAGTGATGAAATCTCCTTAACTAAAGGTAAGATAAAAACAGGGGCCAAAGTTGGGGTCAATATCCATTCCACAGCCGACTTGCAGTCACTTTCCACAATCAACCTTCCAACAGTAACCCAACAAGAAGACAAATAGATTTCAATTCCTCTCTTAATAGCCTTTAACTCCGCAACCTGGGGGGGACCTTGACCTATATTTTCTGAAAAAGTCAAAAGAAAGTTGTTGTTCTAGTCTCTCAAAATACCTCCTATACCTCCATTTGTGCCATCAAGTCTAACAGCTCCATCAACATTCATCATCAAAAAATCAACAGGGGGTGGGAACCAGCGAATCACTTGAACATTCTTAGGATTAAGACCCTTAATACCATCTGCAAGAGATGGATCACCAATCAGCACATCCTCCTGAATAGGAAACTTAGGGTACTTGGCTAGAAACCATTTAGATAACCTGAATCTAGCAATAAAAAACAGAGACATCCTATCAAGGGGAGCACCTTCGAACACCATTGCGTTCCTAGCTTTCCAAATCGACCAAAATACTACTCCCGGAATAAATTTCCAAATCAACGATTTCCCCCTCAGTTCACCCCAAGAGCTGATCAAAGAAGGTGGGTTCTTTGGAAGTACCAAAGCTATATCCCAAAAGCTTACTATCTTATACCATAGTTCCCAAACTACAACACACGAAATAAATAAATGTTGCACTGATTCCACTTGTTCCTTATAAAAAGGACACAGAATTTCATCCCCTAGTTGCATTCCTCTCTTCACCAATTCTTCTCTCACTGCCACTTTCTGATGAGCTAGCTGTCGCAGGAAAGCTTCAACACGAGGAGGAGATAATCTCAGCCACACCCCTTTAAACCACATATCAGAACCCCCCGACACCTTCCCGAGTACATTTCTACAAGATTTTACTGAAAACATTCCATCCCCACTTGCAGACCAAGAAAGAAAGTCTTCTACTAATTCTGTCAGTTTAAAGTCATTCAGTTTTGTCATCAATTCCAGCCACTGCTCCAATTCTCAGTCACACAAATTACTTCTGGTTTCGACGTTCCACACCCAACCATTCTAATCAAAACAACCAAACTCAGCAACCTTACCCCATCTGTTTGTAGACAACACATACATTCTAGGGAAAAGATTTTTTAAAGGAAACTCGTCAGCCCATGTATCTGTCCAAAATGAAATAGACTTTCCATTCCCCACTTTCAACTTAGAGTGTGATCTGATACATTCACCCTCCGAGTCATTCTTTAAGAAATTGTTAGCAATACCTCTCACAATCCAAGAAGATTTGGGCGTAAACACCTTGCTAATAGACATGGAATTACAACTAACCTTGTGTCTGCAACATAACACACTTTTCCACAAAGTATTCTTTTCATTGGCAAACTTCCACACCCATTTTCCCAAAAGAGCCCGATTAGAAAGATTCACATCAAAAACACCAAGACCACCAGAATTCAGAGGCTTGCAAACTGATTTCCAATTAACCCAGTGTATCCTCCTTTTTTCCTCATTACCCCCCATAGAAATCTGGCCATTAATGAATTGAGCTTCTTACTAATAGTGCAAGGCATTCTAAAAAGTGATAAGAAAAATATTGGTAAGGAAGTAAGCACCGACTTCAATAAAACTGTCCTGCCAGCCAAAGAGAGACAAGAAGTTTTCCAACCGGCAAGTTTGGAGCTAAAATTCTTGAAAACTGGATCCCATAGAACTTCTGAGTTTTTCTTAGCACCGAGAGGAAGTCCCAAGTAATCTGTTGGTAAGGAACCCACTGAACAACCCACTGCTAATGCCCACTCTGTTAAAACTTCCTCTTCCACATTAATATCAAACAGCTTGCTCTTAGCTAGATTTAGATGCAACCCTGTCATAATACTAAAAATCCCCAACACTCTCTTGACATTATTAATCTGAGAGAGAGAAGCTTGACAGAAAATGATCAAGTCATCTGCAAATTGGAGATGTGACAACCGAACAGAGTTTTCAGATTTCCCAATAACAAAGCCTTGAAACAGACCCCTGTCTACTGCTTTAGTTATCATCAAATGAAGCAGCTCACCTACAATGTTAAACAGTAACGGAGATAAACTGCACCCTTGCCTAAGTCCTTTGGCCATAGGAAACTCTTCCGAAGGAAACCCATTTACAAGAACCGAGATTGAAGCTGTTGATATACACTGAGATATCCACGACAACCATCTTTTGCCAAAACCCATCTCTGACATTACTCTGATTAAAATTGGCCATTCCACAGAATCATAAGCTCTACGAAAATCTACCTTGAAGACAACCCCTTGTAACCCTTGTTTTCTCCAGTAATCAATCCCTTCATTTGCTATAAAAGCACAATCCAACAGCTGTCTCCCCGGTATAAAAGCAAACTGAGATTGACTAATAATATCACCAACACAACAACTCAGTCTCTTCGATAAAACTTTGGAAATGATTTTGTATAAACTGCCTACGAGGCTGATTGGTCTAAACTCCTCTACACTGTCCGGATTTAGCTTCTTCGGAATAAGTGTGATAAAAGCATGATTAACACCATGCTCCCATTTCCTTCCAAAAAAGAAATCTTCAAAAAATTTCAACACGCGTTCCTTTAAAATTGGCCAGCATTTTTTAAAAAAACCCATTGTGAAACCATCCGGTCCTGGAGCTTTAGAGCTGTCTGATGAAGCTATAGCCTGCCAAATTTCTTGTTCTAAGAATTGCTCTTCAAGTTTGTTAGACTGTTCCCCTGACAGCTTAGCAAATTCCAGAACTAAGTCCTCCACTTCCATTGTTGAATTGGAGTTGTAGGCTGCCTTAAAAAATTCTGAAATATGCAACTTTAACTGTTGAGGGTCTGAAACCACATTCCCATTTATCTTCAAGCTTAAAATTTCATTTCTTTTGCTTCTGTTCAGTGCAGACAGATGGAAAAACCTTGTGTTTCTATCCCCATCTTTAATTCATCTAGTCCTTGACTTCTGAAATCAAATGCTTTCTTCGATTCTATACAGCCTCCAGAGATTAGTTCTACACTGCCTTAACTGATCCCACTCCTGCTTCGAGAGAATTCCACCTTGAGCTTTACAATCCAGTTCATTAATACACCTTTCTAAATCAGAAATCGACTCAGAAATCCCAAAAAATTTACTGCTAGACCATTTTCTGATTGATGTTTTTGTTCCTTGCAAGATGTTGAAGATTCCCCTTCTGTTATTTCTCCCCCTCATAACAACCATTGGAAGATTTAACCAATTCCTCAAATCCTTCCTACTCTAATAGATAATTAAAAAATCTGAATGGTTTAGGACCCCAATTAACGACTTTATCCTCTAGTGAAACTGGATTATGGTCAGATAAGGATCTAGGCAAAAGTCTTTGCATTACATTCGGAAACGAAGTCAGAAACCTCCCAGAAATTAAGAACCTGACGAGTCTTTCCCACGTAGAGTCTTCTTTATTATTACACCAAGTATACCTTCCTCCCACCATAGGGAGATCAATTAAGTTTGATTGCTGTAAGAAGTTTCTAAATAAATCAATAGAATGCCAGTTCTGGGACTTGCCCAACTTCTCATCCGGATTGAGATACACATTAAAATCTCCCCCTATACAAACTAACAAATTTTGAGTAGACACAAACTCCAACAGTTCCCTGAAAAAATCTTCCTTTTCTGCTTCAATTGATGGACCATAAACATTTATAATCACACAATCTTCACTTGAATTTCTGAACTTCCCAAAGACTGCTATGAATCTGCCATTTAAGATGTTGTTCGAGACTACAAAATCATTTTCATTCCACATAATCATTAATCCTCCTGCAGATCCCACTGTTGGAACCACAATACCTCCTTTAAGAAAACTCCCCCTATCTTTCTTCTTAAAGCCAAAGAAACACTTTCTAGTTTTGTTTCTTGAATTAGAAGAAAGCTCAGCTTATTCCTCTTTACCAAATTAGCTACACCTCTTGATTTTTCCTTTTTTCCAAAACCCCTTACATTCCATGAAATTATGTTGGCATTTATCATAACGAAAAATTCAACACCAAAACCTTTAAGCTAGTCAACAGAAGAACGCTAATCTCCTGAATTCCCCCGTTCCTTACTCTCGGCCAATCCCTCCTCAAGATTTATAATTTTGTCTAGAAAAGCCTTCTTCCCCTCTTTAAAAGATATCCCAGTATTTTGCTAACTTCCCATGTAGCCAATGCCTCCTCCAAGAAAACCGAGAATGTTGAAGAATAAACAGTAGGGAAACTTATCACATCCAAAGCTTCTCTGATCAAAAGCCTTCTCCTACTTCTACTCGCTCTCCCTGGCATAGAACCAGGTATAACTCCAGTAGAGACCTCTTCTACAGACCCTGAATGTTGAGCAATACCCACTTTTGAAGTCTGAGGAACACCAAATTCATCATTAGTGGAATTGGCCCCTTCCACTAAAGAATTTAGATATGATTGTCTGCTCAAACTAGGGATTAGAATTTTCCTATTTTGAACAACCAACTCCCTTATTTTAAGTCCCTTATCTTTTCTGCTCGAATTATGCCACACCTTTCTTACCCTAGATCTTCTATATACTCTAGATACAGATCCTCTTTTCCATCTTCCTACTGGGATGTTCCTACCACATAAACTTCCAGACAAGAGGTTCAGAGGACTCCAACTCCTTAAACCATTTGTGACAGACTCCTGATTGGCTCCCAACACCTGAATTCCAACCTTTTGGATTGGTACAAGTTCCTTTTCCACCTCTGTTTCCTCTATACTGTTAACTTCTTTGTCCAGTTCAACATCTTCCTCTAACCCTTCAGAATTATTATTTATAGAAAGCCCTCTACAATGTGACTGAATTATGACATTTGAATCTTCAGAATTCCTTTTTAAAATAGAGTCAAGCTTGGAAGGAACCAAAATCTGCAAGTTTGATTTCTCCACATCAGTCTGCTGAAGATCACTTGGAATGTCCACCCGATGGTCTATCTGATTACCATAGCCCAATTCTATTAAGTTCACAGCTGGCCCAGTTGGAGAGAGTCTTGTATAAATTGGGGTGGGCTCACTAAAGTCTTCTGACTGTGCTTTTTCACTACTATAACATATATTATTTCTCAACCCGAGGCCCATATATTCCCCTCTTAAATTCAAATTTTCCTCTGGTAGTTCTGACACCCTTTTTTCACTGGGTTGACCTTCATCTACCTGCCCCATTAAATGCTGATCCTCACAACCACCAGCCACAACCTTACATACATCCCCTTCCAACCACGTGTCGACTCTACCTCTAGTATCCTCAGCTAATAAGTCTGGCCTACCAACCCCTCCTGAGTACCGATCATCGAGCTACCCCTGTACGCTCCCCGCCGTCCACCGTGAATTCACTGCTGAAAACCATTATGTTTCTCAAAAATCGAGCCCACATTAATTTTAACCAAATAAGATCTCCCATACGATCCAAGTGTAACTGTTTCCGGTATATCAAAAGGACTGGCCACCCTCAACAATGCCCTTGCAACCGCCATATCATCTCTTCTAGCCGTCGAATCTTAAATACAAATCAGCTTCCCCCACCTTGAAACAAGTTTTTCCAGAAACAAGACATTCCAACATAATAACGGAACTCCAACTAATTGAACCAAGCAAAATGACATCGGTAAGCCTTCCTCATTCAGAAGCATATCAAGCCATTCAAACCAAAATGATAATATCTCCAATCTACTCGACCACGCCTCCTTTAATTCCTTCACTGAAGCAAAAGTTAAAATGCAAGAGTTTCTTGCATAACCCCATTTGGCTAACTTGACTTTGATCCCATCACTCGCCAGACCCTTCATCACTAGTTCCAAATCAAAGTGTGTTTTAATGATCCCTGTCAATGATCTTTTCACCCAATCCGATTCATCCGAGGGAATGTGCATCTCCCACAAGTTCCTCAGCCCCGATTTCTTCCTAGGAATCCCCATCCTATTTTCTTTGCTCACCTGATCTTCCCTCAGCCCAACATTTGAGACTAACGCATCCTTATATGATCTTTCATCTCTCAATCGATTAAAGGACTCATTATCAACTTTTCTTCTCCAATATCCTCCCTTATACACCGTACCTTCTTCCCGTATGAAATTTTTGTTATCCACTTGGCGAGGTCTCTGCTTCTTATACTTTGCTACCCCAACATATATTTTCTTTCCATCAATCCAAATACCATTGACATTTTCCACCGCCTTCTTCAATCCTTCCTCCTTTGCAAACTGAACGAAAGCAAACGTATGATTACTATAGTTTGGTTTGCTAGAACTACTCGGGATGAAAACTCTCAGTACACGACCCTGTTGTTGAAAAATTTCCTTCACTGTTTTCCAAGAGACTCTTTTGCTCAGATTATCCACAAACACCGTCCAATCCTCGCCGGAGGGCTGAAAACCTAAGGAACTCTCTCTCTCTCCAGTTTTCTCTCTGACACTCTCTCTCATGGTTTTTAAAAATACAGAAATTTTACTACTTGGAGTTATTGAAAATGCATGAAATTTTAATTTCAATGTAGCGGATGTCAAATATTTTTTTTATACAGGGGGATGCTCTATATTTCTGTTTATAAATTACACAACTTCATTTTTATTTTGTAGGCTACAAGGCATGCAGAAATGGAAGCCATAGACATCCTTCTGGAGAAGTGGAAAAAAGATGGGCTTTCAAAAGCAGAAGTTGCTGAAAACTTTTCACGGTGTGTTTTGTATGTTACATGTGAACCATGCATAATGTGTGCAGCAGCTTTGTCATTTCTTGGTATAATTCTTTTCCAATTCAATGCTTGAATGTAGCAATATATTATTATGAATACATTTTAGTTTCGTTACTTTTTTTCATTAGCCTAGTTATTGACTGATGTAATTTATTTAGGCATCAAGGAAGTATATTATGGTTGTGCAAATGAGAAATTTGGAGGATGCGGATCGATTTTATCCTTGCATTCCGGTTGCTCAGAGCCATCCATAAGGTCTGTTATAGAATTCATTCTTCCATGCAAATGTTTATCTATTATTTTGTTTTATTTTTCATCACCGTTGTTTTTCCATTGCCCTCATTTAGCCGAATTTCAACTTATTATTTTATGAAGCCCTAAATTTGTTATCAGAATAGATTCTATTGCATGTTCACCCCTTTGTTTTTCGAAAGGGGAAAAACTCCAATAACTTATGAAGTAATTTCACATATTCATTACAACTGAATTGAGGTATCTAATTGAGTAACCACTATGCATATAATTGAGTGGAGAAGAAGCCTTGTGCAAACTGCATTTGTAGTGTTCATACCATGCATATAATCAGTTTTAATCTCTGTTTTCTAAATGCATGAGTAAGAATTTTCTTATCAACCTAACGCAACATCTTATTTTCATATTTTGACATTTTCTACCTTTTTGATGTCCATTGCTTTGATGTCCGTTTTTAGGTATTTTTACTCAACTGCTATCCTGTTTTCTTGCTTCTCCTTGAACTTAGACTATCCTCCCTATTGTTTGCATTGTTCCACTCCCCTCAAACACTTTTTGTACTTCCTTTCTAATTTCACCACCTCTTTGATGTCTCCTAACTCTTTGCGGAAGATTTTCATCTACTCAGCTGAGAAACTTGTTTTGTCCATGCTTTTCCAACCTGTATATCACTGGTCCCTTTTAGCGTATTGCTTTTTAGCTTAGTCTGTCCTCACTATGGCGTTTCCATATACTCGTTATAATGTTGATGATAACGCAACAGCAACATTTCTTCTTCCCTATATGTATTGCATATAGCTGCAGAAGTTCTAATCTTAATGTTTGTCGCATTCAAAATAAGTGACAATTCAGGTCACTTATCTAATTCTGAACTAATTCCCTTCAATTCAGGTCACATTGTTACTGTCTCTTGCCTATTGCATGCTTTTCATTGATAATTTTTTTGGTCCCCCTTCAATTCAAATGTTTCTAATTTTCTTTGTGCTTTTAGTGATGAAGTTCCACAAAGGAAAGGTTTCAAATGTACAGGAGGATTAATGGCCTCCGAAGCAGTCTCTCTTTTTAGAAGTTTTTACGAACAGGGGAATCCTAATGGTATGCAATTTTTGCTTCACTGCATTGGGTCTATTAAGTCAAAGTTCATGAAAGAATGATATAAATGAAGAGATATTTATATCTCACGCCAGAGTTGACATTTAGTATTGCTTTAGATAGCAAGAATATTACATCCTCATGGAATCAGAGGTTGATGCAATCTAGAACATCATGGCATATTGCTTTAATCCATATCCTAGTAAAAGATTATTCCTGAATCCGGAAACAATGCCAACAAGCATGTAAAAATATGTTGAAATTGGGTAAATTATGACAAATAGTCTGGAAAGGATTGCGTTTGGTCAAATTATATCTAAAAGGAACCTAGAATAGTGCACATGTTAGTATGCTTTGGGAAAAAAGAAGGCAAGATTACACTATAACCATACAATGGAATTTGTTGTCATTTGCATAGATGGAATATACATACACGTTTAGCTAATATATTCTCTTTTTGTTGCATTCATTTATAGATTATATATAGATGCATCTTAAGGTAGCAAAGTTTCAGCATTTTTGCTTTTATTTATTTATTTATTTATTTATGTATGTCAATCATATTTTCAGCTCCGAAGCCTCATAGGCCACTAGTTCAAAAGAGAGTTGAGTGATAAATGGAGGTTGGTATGTTTTATCTTCTTCTTTTCAGTTAATTTGATTGCAAATGACTCGTACTGTGGCCTCGAGTGATGTTCTTTATTTGAAATTTGGTGTTGGAATGTGATTTAAAGCTGCTGATGAAATGGAAGGTAAATTAGTATTGATTATAATGATAAAGTAGAGCCAACTTTGTTTTACTTGAAAACTGGATTATATCCCATTCAGATTTATGGAAAGCTACAAGAAACAATGATATGTAGGTTAATTCATTTTGTTGATCACGTCATTGATTTCATCTTCGTGATTTCCAGACACCCCCACCTCCTTTTTTATAGGGAATTTTATTCTCTCGTAATAATCCATCTTTTGTACCAACAACAGTTGGTTCAGTGGGACGAAACACTAGATCTCTGAAGCAATGTTAGGGTTCGAATCTTGACGATTGCGAATGGAGTAAACTGAGTTGGGAGCGTTGCTCTTGCCTCTATAGTACCCGATTTGAATTAGTCGATCAATAAATCGAATACCGATGATTATATAAAAAAATACATCTTCTGCAATTGGGTTTTCATTAGCCAGCAGTTGTTGCGTTTGATTCTATAGAACGGTTTGTATGCCCCTTTTTTTTATTAATCCAGAGTGATCATAAGTGATAATATATGTTTTAAAGACTCAACCATTTAACAATTAAAAATATCTTGCAGTCGTTAGTGCTCGAACCCAATACTTCTAAGGATAACAATCACTTCATTAACAATTGAGGTTATTTGGTTCGTATTATGTTTTTTTAAATAATTATATAAAATAATTATAAAATAATTTATGTTCAGTTTTTTAAATTTATTAATAATAAATATACTTTACAAAAATAACGGTTTCCATTCGGATATTTAGATAAATCAATGTTTCTTTATTATTAAAATGATTCAAACAATTTCATTTCATGCCATTTTGTCTTCACCGTACGAAATGGAAACAGGGTTGCACATGCAATTGTTGCGGCATGTACAAGGGACACTGTTTCATATTAAAAATATAATTCAATCGATTACTGTTCCATAAAAAACTATGTTAGATAAAACGTATTGTAACCAAAAATATTTTATAAAATGTAAAAAATAATTTAATGAATTAATTTAATTTCAATCTATCTATGATTATAGAAAAATTTATTTTTTAATTGATTTAAGTTTGAATAGTGTAATTTATATATGTGTGAGTTTAGACCAATTTTTTTAAAAAAATATTATCTATTTATCTATGAAAAATAAATAAATTTTTAGAATTAAATTTATAATCTTGATTAGAATTCATATATATAATTTATATTTTATTATATTTATATTATAAAAATAAGTAATTATAATATATTTTCATGTTTATTAGATATGTTTTTATTTAAAAATAAGGATGAAAAATATTTTTAAAAAAGGAAAATTTTAGAACGCTCGACGAACAGTAGTGAGCATAACTAATGATGAGCACCGCTGAACACTATTAATTTAATTTATAAAAATTTAAAATTATAAGTTACTCAACACATAATCATAGATTAGTTAAAAGTTAAAAAATAAATTATTTATTTAGTAGTGATCACAACTAATGATGAGTACCGCTAAACACTATTAGTTTAATTTCTAAAAATTTAAAATTATAAGTTACTCAATATATAATCATAAATTAGTTAAAAGTTAAAATAAAATATTTAAAATAAAATATTAATTACATTATTTTCTATAATTTTTTAAACAATAATTAGGTTTTTTAATTTAAATATTGATATATTGATTTAATTATTGTTAAAAAAATTATGAAAAATAATTTATTAATAATTTATTTTAAATAATTTATCTTTAAAATTTTAATTTTAATCTTTTAAAATTTCAACTTTTTAAAAAATAAATTAATAATATTTAATAATATTCATGGCTAATAATACTCAAATATTCTTATCCAAGGTGTCATACCCATCCTTTAAAAAAATGTTTTCAGAAAGTTATTCTCATCTTTCCATGATACCTTTATTCGATCTAGGCTTACGTGTTATTAATTTATTATTGATCCATGAGACGTGGTTGGCTCACAATAAAAGATAATGACTATCTCCAACACACACACAAAACGTGCCTTTTTTTTAACCATATTTAGTCAAATTTTGTTACTAATCCTTGTATTATGCATACTTTACGAAATTTACTTTTTATACTTTAATTAAATTAAAGGGTTAACTGCACGGTTGATCACTTATCTTTAGGTTTTATCCACTTTTAGTCACTAATTTCAAAATACATAAGATATGGTCACTTACGTTTTTATTTAAATAAGATTTATCTAACCGTAGTTAATAACAGTTAAATATTTTGATATATTCACACATTTGGTCCTTGTTAGTTACATATTCTCTCAATTTAGTCATACTTTTAATAAATTAAAATAAATTATATATTTTTAAATGAAAATAAAAATAGAATATTTTTACATTAAGTTAATAGTAAAATATATTTAATAAGTTAATATAAAAATATTTTAAGTTAATATATATATATAATTCGAGTCACGGGTACCCGGTTCATAATTTTTTTCTTTAAATTATATAAAAAATTCTAAAATTCTAAAATTTAAAATTCTATAATATATATAATCCACACATAAATTTTAAAAATTCAAATTACATAATTGAAATAAAATTTATTAAAATTTAAAATAAAGAAATATAATTAAATTTCAAATGTTTTGAAGTTAAAATAAATATTTTAAAAAATAATTTAGAATGTTAATGTGAAATAATTTAAGAAATTATGAATTTAGAATATTGTGGTGTAACATCCTCAATACCGGGTTAGTGGTTAAAGTGTAAGATTTTTAAATTTAATGGCCAAATTAAATAAATTGAAAAGTGAATGAATTCATTAAAAGATGTTGGTGTAAGATGAATTAATAAGTAAAGGAGAAGTAAAAGGGTAAAAGGGTCATTGAGCAAATAAAAGAATAAAATAATAATTAGTGGGTATTATAATACCCATATGAATTATAATTGAGGAGATAAGTTTCCAGAGACTTATCTCCTTCATTTTCTTCTTCTCCCAACCGTGAAGCACCCAAGGCAAGGTAAGTTGGATTTCTTTTGGTTAATCCTTCAAATTAAAGCATGGTTTTGATTCATGGAGCTTTAGGAAATATGATGGAAATGAAAAAAGTTATAAAAAACTCAAAGATTTGTAAGTTATGAATGATTAAAGATAGGAAGTGAATAAGTGAAATTTTGAATAAGGATGTGTAAATGGATTTAGAAGTTGAATTTGACTTGTCATCTATGAGAATAAGAGGTTATAAGTGTTAGAATTAAGTTTTGATAACATGAAAGTTTGGTATGATTCTTAGTTTTATGGATTTGAATGAGATATGAGAGATTATAAAGTGTTGGAATGATAAAAGTTAGTTAAAATGGTTGTAGTTGAGTTTAGTGGTATGAAAAGAGTTTTATATGAGAAAATTTAATGAAACATTGTGGAATTTTCGGGTGAAAATAGTCTATTCTGGATAGGTGCATCGATACACTATGAATGAACACCGATGCACTAAGACCAAATTTGAAGGTGCATCGATGCATTAAGGAGTGCATCGATGCATTAAGGAGTGCATCGATGCATAGGAATTTCGAACCCAATTTGGATACCGATGCACCCATAGTGCATCGGTACACTCCTAAAGAAAATAAGGAATATAAGCTTATTAAATTCGTTTAAGTTAATAGCATCGAAGTATAAGGTTTATGCTTCTAATAATCATCTTGAAAATTATATTTATGTAGATATTGAGCCTAAACGAATTCCGGAACAAGTGACAAGTAATATCGATCGAGGAAAAGGCAAAGAGATATAGGTGAGTGCATATGCATTGTAATACCCTAAATTTTGGTTGGTGACCAAAATGCAACTTTTAAAAGTTTGATGGTCAAAGTATAAACTTGGAAAACTTTAAGGAATTAAATGATGAAGTTCCTAAAAAGAATTTTTTTATCTATAAATAGATAGTTTAATCTTGAGAGTAAGGTTTTATGAAAATTATATTTTGGATTTGGAATTTTATTAAAGAAAAATTAGAAATGGTTAAAACCGGTAGAGAATCGGTAATTTCAGATTGAATTAGAATTTTACAAAAAATTTGAAGGATGTTATAAAATGTTTGGAAATATTATTTTAATATTTTGGATCAAAGAAATTTAGTCTGAAAATATGGAATTTTCAGATTTAATTGAAACAATGGATTTTAGTGACTAAAATGCAAGTTTTGAAATTTCATGGGAAATTTCATAAATTAAAGTCAAAATAGTTCATCTTTGACTTTGAATTATAATAAGGATGAGTTGTCATAGTTTTATGGTAAATAAGAAGATTCATTAAGGGTGATATGGTCTTATCCCACTTAAATGAGTATTATATTCATTTTAGTGAAATATAATGTAAAATACTATGAAATGCACCCAACATATCATTTCACTTGTTCATCTTCTTCTCTAAATCAGCCGTGGGTTCTCTTTCAAGGTAAAAGAAAATTTCAACTCAATTTTCAAGCAATTTACTTAGGATCTTGAGTAAGTTGTAAATAGAAAATTGTTATACGTGAAAACTCTATCTTTTGGTACCAATATTGCATGGTAATCTTGTTGGTGTTCAAAGATCCCAAATTTAAGGATTTGTTTCATATAAGGGATCATGAAATTGATGATGGATCTTGATGTTTATGAAGTAGTTGATTCATATTTAAGCATGTATGATGA